TTCTAAACAATTTAGAAACTGGATTTGAGATGAATCATTTTGGCATGACAGCAACAAAAGGACAATGTAACAAAATGATTTATGTGATTGTAAGAGGTGACTTTAACAACGGCTCATCGACAAAGACTACTTGGACTTTAAAAATGTATCTTCCTTACATGCATTCTGTGAGTAGTTACACACACTAAGATTTTTTCTCATTGTTCACTGCACAGCTCCTACATTACCCTTTTGTACATTTTGTGTTTTTTATCTTTATTTTTTATATTTTATATTTTACATTTTTAAATTCTATTTCATATATTGTAATATCTTCTTATTCTGTATTATTTAAGTTGTTGCTAGTTCTGCTTTATTTCCTTGTTAATTGTTTAGCACCGATACACCAAGTCAAATTCCTTGTATGTGTAAATGTACTTGGCAATAAACCCCGATTCTGATTCTGATTCTGATTCTGACTATAGAATTTCTAGGAGATTCGTTTAACCAGTGATCCCGGCCAAGACAAATAAACGACTTCACACCGACACATGACTGGGATAAAACAGTCAAGAGAAACCAAACAGCACCGTCTAAAATCCAAACAAGTGCTCGACAGTAAAGTTTGAAGGATGAGGTTTTAATAATTTCCTTGCCTGGTCTCTCTCCGCTTGCAGCTCCCTGATCTGGTTTTGGATCACAGTGCTCTTCTGCTGGTGCAAGTTACAGTCCAGGGTCAGCTGCTGCACCTGGAGGCTCAGGCACTCTTTCTGATCCAGAAGCTGTATTGAAAAACATACAGAAACAATAGTGGCCTCCAGTATTTCAGAGATATATTACAGGATTTAGAATGTTTGATGAGCAAGTCAACAAGCACCAAACTGGAAGCTCAAGAAATGACTTGAATCACAAATGTTCCTCTGAACGAGGCTTTTTGCACAAAAAGGCACAGTGAGATAGTCAAAGGCTCTCTATAGCACAGAAACAGAATTTGCATAGCATTTCCTGATCCCTGGAGACTAAAACCTAAAAAAAAAAAAGCACATACACACCCCTTTGTTTTCATTAAACACCTTTTCATTCTCCTCTCTGTAACACCTGAGCTGCTCTGCGAGCTCCGCGTGGCTGTCTATGGCCTCAGCCAGATCCTGGGCAAGGATGTCCCGACCAGCCTGTCAGAGACATGACATCACACAAGACTGCATAAGAGACATCTGGAACTACGTCAGAGGGGTTTTTTTTGTTTTGTTTTTTTAATGCAGAATTGATCATTCTCATTGCTTCACCTTCACAAGCTGGCAGGGCAGAGACCCAACTCCCTCTTGTAGTCGTGGATAGGCTGGCTGAGAGGCACGCCTAAGCGAGCGCCGCTGCTGGAACTCACTCTCTTTTTTTGCCTTCTGCAGCTCTGTCTGCAGCTGATACACCTGCCGTCACATAAGAAAACACCACTCATGTACTCAAAGAATATTTCAACTATTGTTTTTTTAGTAATCATTAAAAAAAAAAAAACCCACAAGGCCTCAAATTGTAAGCTCCTCAATCTAATTATGTTGTGAAAAAACACTTGTCAATTCGGCCTGTTCCATTGGTTACATCCACAGTCAATGATACTGTTACATTGGGACTACATTATACATATGTTGTATCTGAGCCAAAGCCCAGATTACTCAGATGATGTCACTTTCTCAAAGGCTGTTTACACCCTGCGTAAACATCCATCATGGGTGATCTGATAACAAGTGAATAACTCTTATTTACAGGTGTTTACACTTAACATTGAGAACACATTTCATTGAGTACCTGTACTTGAGATCAGAACCCACATGCCCGCTTCACATGCAAATGAGCGCACGTGATGGGGGTGGCATTGTTGTCCCAGTTCTCAAATTGAGGGGGAGGATCTTAATGCTGCACAGGACGCATGAGCATTTATTATTTTCTTATTATTATTTTCTTATTTTATTTATTTTATTTATTTTATTTATTTTATTTATTTTATTTATTTTATTTATTTTATTTATTTTATTTCTTATTTTATTTCTTTCTTTCTTTTATTATTATTTTATTTTTACAGTCTATGGTTTACACTTCCAAAACAATGAGGACCACCTCTGTGTGTGGTCTGAGCTGTTGTATCAAAATCTGTTCTTAGGACTTACAGTAATGTGGTGCACTCCTAGCCTTAAGGTTATTCACTTGTTATCAGATCACCCTGGATGGATGTAAACAGCCTCTCAAAATAAGCTTCAAAAGGGAAAAACAGACAAGAGTTTGTACAGGCTGTGTTCACAATGATGATGGAATTGTGCTCTAAATTACCCTCAATCTACCTTGCTCACATTTCAGTTCTTTCACGCTGACCTTCTTAGGACTTTCCCCTGAGATCACAGCTTTGTGTTTCAGGAAGAAGAAACTCATTCTATGTGTGCACGAGTTCCCTGAGGTGAGAAAAAATATTGTTGAGAAAGAAAACTGACCTGCAGGTTGAGGTCATGGAGGCGCATGTTCACAGCTGACTTCTCCTCAATGGCCGCTGTGTAGCGCATATACAAGTCACATTTCTCGTCCTTGAGCTTAGTGACATCATGTTGCAAAGAGAACAGGTGCCTCCGCAGGCGTTCATTCTCGGACTGAAGGCACCTGGACTTCTCCTCCTGCGCCATTATCTGCCCAATCTCTGACTCCAGGGAGGCACAGCGTGCACTCATCCTGCCGGCCTCACATCGTGCCTGCTGAAGCTCCTTCTGCATCCCTGTAACAGCTCTGACCAGATACTCTGTCAGCTCTGAGTACTTTATCAGGCCTGCAAAGAGAGCAATGTGGGTCAGACATATAGTTTGAATAAAAACAAGTATTTCCCCTCACATTGCAGGAAGACTTTAAGCCACTGACCACTGAATCCTGAAGGCTCAGTGCTGGGTTTCTGTCCAGTAACATGGGTGTACAGGATCGGGTAATGGATCATCAGACTCTCAAGCAAAGCCACAGCGCCATTCCCCTGGGTCCTCAGCAAATCTAACATATAGCCTAGAAATAGTTGAGGTCAATAAAACACCATCCTGCTCAAACTTCAACCTTTGTGTCAACAAACTTCCTCTAAAGATATGACTACAAGCAAACCAACAGGGGGACAGCTATGTTTTTCTCTTTTATCGTCCCTATCAGAAGTAAAAGCACTGCCTTTTCATTTCTCTTGGGCGAGAAAGCAACAATCATACTGTACAATAATCATAAGTAAACACTTGAATATTTTGTAAAAGCAGGCCATGACACTTTAAAATTCTAACAAGCAACATTACATGTCGGTGTATGTGATTTATAGTTGTTCTAATCTCTGAAGTGTTGTTGGAATTATTCTATTAAAAATGGATTCAAAAGTCTTTCTTAATAAATCAGTAAGTGCATCAGTAGGCGCAATAAAAACAAAAAAAGGACAAAGATGATCCACTTGTCATTAACACATTGAGGCAGACAACAGTACTCCATAACGCCATGGCTTTAAATGTCTTAAAAGAGCAGAGTCAGAAATCTCACTGGTTCTCATGCTGCGGTTGGTTAGATTGTGGCAGGAGAGGATCTCGTCCTGGTCCATCTCGCTGAGCACCCTGGCCTGCCTCAGGTACGGGATCAAGTTGCATGGCTGCACTCCGAGGGAGATCCGGTGTCTGTTGTCGTTAATCAGTTCCCAAAGTTCCTCCTCGCACCGCTCTTTGAGGTCTAGACCCTCAGGAACACACTCCTCTGACATCCTGACTTGAAAGAGAGAGGGCTTGCCTTCTGCTGAGTCAGTGGGCTCAGCTGGAGCAAACACGCACACACACACCCTTAGCTGCAAAGACAGTTGTCAGAGACTCATTCCTGGAAGTGAGAAAATCTGTACTGACTGCAAAATGCAGAGGAGCACTGTACAAGGACAAGGCTCTTTCCACGCCCTGTTGGTGTTTGTGACACCGCGTGTTTCTGTGTTTATCTGTGGGTGTGTGGCAAAACCTGTAAAGCAAGCCCTCTGTGATGCAGCTCAAAAAGCTTCTTTAGACTTCTGACTGAAGTGGCGGCTTTGCAACGTTAGTTTACTTTTAAAAAGCATATCAAACATTAAATCAGATCAAATCTGCCTGATTGTATAAATGAAACATGATGTTTGTCCGTTGTTGAGCCAGAGCCAGTGGTACACATGAACAATGACTCTCACTGAGACCTAAACGTTACACAGTTTGCACATTTGCTTTAATAATTCCTAATCACAGCAAAGCACACACACACACACACACACACACACACACACACACACACACACACACACACAACACTGTTGACAGGAGCAAACACTGAGCTGTGACGTACAAAGTCTGTTACAGGAGGAAATAATGAGTGTGTGTGTGTCTGTGTGTGTGTGTGTGTGTGGGGGGGGGGGGTAAAGTGGTAAAGTTATTTTTTCAATGGTCTGTAATAATGTACCGGTACTTAAACAAATTAAAGCTGTCGTCATGGCAACATGATGCACTGGAATAAAGTCCCCGAATGACATTCTGTAGAACACAGTGAACTCACTAGTTACAGGAAATATGATAATTTACACAAATACTTTAGAACAGCCTTTCCCACTGCCTTGGCCCACATTGATATACAAAATTACTCCGGGGCCCATTATAAAAGTTTTGACTACAGCTATCCCTTTCTGTAGTCAGTGACAGAGGGATTTCCTCTGTCATTTCCCCTGTTTTTATTAACAACCAGGCTGTTGAGGTGGTGCACCAATGCAAGTACCTGGGGACTATCATCGATGAAAAACTCACCTTCGAGCTCCAAACTGAAGCTGTCTGCAAAGAAGCTCATCAGCGTGTGCACTTTCTGAGGAAGCTTAGGAATTTTAATGTTGACAGCACTTTTATGAAGATGTTTTATTCCTGTTTTATTGAATCAGTTTTAACATTCTGCATGGTGCCGCATTGTCAAACTGTGTGTCAGAATCTCAGGATCGTCCCTTTCTGACCTTTCTTATTTATATAAAACAAAGTGTCTTAAGAAAGCTCAGTCAATCGTGGCAGATCAAAGTCATCCTTTGTCCAAGGACTTTAAGTTGCTGCCGTCAGGCCGCAGAGTCAGTCTGCCAGCATGCAGGACGAAGAGGACGAGAAACTCATTTGTTCCTGTTGCCATCACCTTTTTAAACCACTAACTGTGTATTGTGTTTCTTATCTATTGTATTTATTTACTGTCCTTTCTATGTTGTTTGCTCATTTCGGGCTGTATGTATGTGTGTGTTTTTACTGCTGACTGCAAAACAAATTGCCCTCTAGCAGGGATAATAAAGACAACCTTGAACCTTGAGTTAGGATAAATGATTGGACATGACAAAATTATATTATGGCAAGATAGACACAAATGTTTACTAAACATTATGTCCATGAATAGTCATGACACACCTTACTAATCACTGAAAGGGTTGACTCAAAAAGAAGTCACATGTAATGTGAAATATTAAAGCACAACCTCATGGCTCCCTGATGATGGACACATGAAGCTCATTTAAGTTACAAGTGATTCAATAAACGATTGTCCTGCACCTGCTTCTCATACTGTATAAGAAACTCTAAACTATTGCTGTCTGAAGTACAAGAGCCAGTATTCTGTAACCTGAATCGCCTCTTTCAACAACATAGGGCTTGCTTATCTCTTACATTACAGAACGAGGGCAAATGAACCCTATGGATTTTCCCACAGAGTATGTTTGATCATGTAAATGGAAATCATTTGTCATTAACTCACAAGCAGCTGTAGTTTTTATGATGACAGAGGTTGAGTGGTGAATGTTTAAACTGGATAAGCTCCCTAAGGCTTACTGTGTAACTTTTGCTGAATGGCAGACTGAGAGCATTCATGCATTGTTCCTCACCTTTAATATGCAGGTCACTGAAAAGGAACTCATACTAATGGGATAAAAACAGCTGAACACTGCATTTGGCAAGACCTGATATGGAGTCAATAGGCACTTCACAATACTAGGAGTTGGTTTTGTGTCATATTTTCACTCAAGTACATCCTCTACAACACTTACTGATCTAGTAGTAAAGCTCAGACAGAGATAATCTCCCATATCCATTTAGATGATATGATGAATGGACTTGAGCTTGTATAGCGATGATGGCAGAGATTGCGATGTTATGTAACCATGTAACCATCACAAGTAACTAATCCCATTCATACATTCATACATCACAGACTAAGCAGAAAAAGCAATTTGGGGTTAAGTGTCTTGACCAATGTGGTTGTAGAAGCTGGGGATTGAATTGAGAGTGACAACTCTACCACTGAGCCACGGCCTTATAGTAGGGATTTGGTTACCCAGAGTTAAAATTTGGGTTTAGATAGTAAGGCAATGGGAGGGTGGGAGAGAGTTTTATTAAGAGTAGATGCTGTTATTTCTATTAGCTGCTTGTTTAGCAACGCTCCAGGGATGCATGCATGGTGCCAGTTAGGATGAGAGCATGTCCATGTTCCCAGGGTTCTATGTTCCCAATCGTATTGTCCTTCTTACACAACAGGATTTCTCAAAGGATTTTATGTTCACATCAATGTGTCAAAAAATATGAACATGTAGGTATGTTATACTTAATGTTACAGCTGTTACTTTTACACTGGTGTGTACCACAGACTTTTAACTTCATACAAACTGCACAACAAAAGTCTATTTCTTTTCTAATGAAGTTCTTTTGAAATGTAAACTGAAGCGCTCAACAATCTCTTATAATGTTATTGAACAATTGTCTTCTGGAACATAGAACCTCTGTTTGATGCCCAGAGGAGCTGAGGAAAGTCCCGACAGTACATGATAATGCTTCCAGGAAGCATGTATTCTGAAGAGCCAGTTGAACAACATTGCATTGATATGGTTTGTTGGCCACCCTCGTCAGAGATGTTTTACATTACTTGAAGTCACTGCAAGTGAATGTTCAGTCTCTATGCTTTGCAATGCAGTCATTGCATCATGATGCTGTCGTAATGGCAATGGATAATAATAACAAACTTGAAATTCTGTTGCCAGAGAGGAGAAGTGTGATTTGTTTATTTCAGTAGCAAAGTGAATACACGTCCCCATCCACAGTAAATATATTGTTTTTTTAAGGAACAGATTTTCACACTAGTGCTCTGATGGCTTCTCAATCATTAAATGTAACTGTTAAGACACAACTAATGTCAATCAATTACATCTTTGCAGGTGCTACTTACACACTGTGTCGTCATCTCTCAACCGGAAGGTCGAGGGTTCAATCCCCAGCTGGGCAACATGTCCGATATGTCCTTGGGGAAGACACTTAACCCTGAATTGCTTCGTTGGCGGTGTATGAATGAGATTAGTTCCTTCTGATGGATGATACTACATAGCGACCACCACCATCAGTGTGTGAATGTGTGGGTGTGACATGCAGTGTAATAGGGCTTTGAGTAGTCAGAAGACTATATAATAGCGCTATATAAGCTCAAGTCCATTTACCATTCAAGGCAGGGTGTCTATTGACCATCAAAATGCTAATTCCCCACAGTGTAATTAAAAATTACAATCACAAAAAATTAGTGTGCTTTTTCCACTTTATACTCATCCCCCTCACTTATGTAACCACAAATCAGTTTCTATACTGGCAACCGGATTGAAAAGTGACACATTATAGTCAGTTTAGTGTATTGCATTCATGCCAAATAGTTCTTCATTTTATTCCTTTGTTTCACAATCAGTTTAACAGCAAAAGTACAAAAAAACACAAACAATGAAATAGACGAGATCTTAATATTTTGAAGGTCATGTGTTTCTCTTATCTTGACCTACAATGTCCTCCTCTTCCATTCTCTGTACTTCTTCTGCTGTACTCACAGTCATGTCTACATCCTCTCCACACTCTCAGGACATCTCCTGCTCCAGGACTTGTGTGCGTGCTGCCAGTGCCAGTAACAACCTGTGCAGCGCTCCCTGGTGCTGAGGGAATTCCTGACACACACGGTGCAAGATGGCGCTGGTAGTGTGCATGCGCTCCATCTTGCTTTGCGTAGCAACGTCGATGGATTCACTGGTGGATAGGGCTTGGTACCCGCCCACACTCAACCCCTGCAGCTTCTTGGTCCTGCTTTGAAGAGTTACTAGGTGGGCCAGATTCTATGTGGACAGAGGGGATGAAAATTATTGTATTTTTTTTCTTCTTTTAATTGTTGGAAAATTCACAACAGTGCTCCACCTTCTGGAGCTATTCTTGATGTGTGGGAGTGGTTTTCATGAGTGGAAACAGCAATGCACATGACAATAAATCCACAGCAATTTCCACATGACCCAGATAAATGTTTAAGTAAACATGCTCACCACAACATAAAGCTATAAAAGAATCACCTGCAAAACAATTTTCTGTGGACTGACTTGAGTGACACACCATGTATTTATTTCTTCAGTAGCCTAACCCAATAATGACTCATAACTATAATGTGTATGTTAAATGACAACTTTTATTTTCGTTAGAAGTGGAAACTGTGGAACTATAATACTGCATAAAAGCCCATACTATTGAAAGTACATTTGTCTTTGCACTCAAATGGTACAACTGATTTGATATAATTACAGGTAGATTATTATTAATTACTCTTGGTTCATTTTTACAAAAACACATACAAAATACTGGTTTCTATGATCATATACGACATATGTATGCACTTGATATAATATATACTGTATACAGATTTTCAAATGTGATTCAGAGAGCAATG